GCGCAGGCCATATCCTTTCCGGTCGAGCGGTGGTCTTTTGACCGCTTTGGTCGTCTTTCGTGGCTTTTCAGCCACTCTGCAGACTGCCTATTGGACTCAGGCGTATGGTAATGGACCCACGTCACAAAACCTCGAAAAAAGTCCGCTCGATTACGCTGCAACAACGCCAAACCGGCCAATCATCAACGCGCTACTGTTTTTGGTCAGCAAACGCGGCACCCATCGTGCCGATAGCTTTTTCATGTCCAAAACATCATGCAAAATGTATCCCGCCCGTTCTTTTGAGATGCCCACGGCCTCAGTTAACTCGCGCAACTTCACTTTATGATCACTCAAAACGATTCGATGCACTTGCTTTGCGATTTCTGCATTCGTAGCCTCTTTTGGCCTTCCAGAACGAGCGTCTTCGGTGCTTGTACGACCCATTTTAAATTCACTAAACCACCGATAAACTGTTGTTCTCGAAGGAGCAGATATGGGTTAACATTTCTGCAATCATTTCAATGATTGTTCAGAAGTTTTTCCATCAAAAAACAATGTTTGATCAAGATGCGATATTCCTGTTTTTCCATTTTTTTTACGAAGGCGAAAGTAACGCCACTTAAACGACTGTAGCTTGTAAACGAATGAACGAAATGTCATGAAACTTCATACATAAACTAGTGACAGATGAACCTCTCCAAATGAATCATGTTCATTTTCTAGTGGCGCCACCTATTGAAAAATCCCGGGACTTTTCAGTCCATGTAGTATTTAAACATATAGGGAAATTTTCGGATTAAATTGTATGAATTCGCATAAATCATCCTGTCACTTATTTTATGTTAAATCAAATAATGTGACAAAGAAGCTTGTGTACAGTTATTTATTCTATCGTTTAAATAAGATGAGATATAAAACGATAGATTAACTGTACAATTTTATTATGTATGCTGAAATCTGCGAAATAATTATTCAATGATCTGAAGAACGTTATATTATATTGCCAACGATACGATACGATAATTTTTCTAACATCTGTCTTATTCAAATATATAGGGACATTTTTGGATTAAATTATAGGTTCGTACATCTTATCTTTATTTGATATTAAATTAGAAAATGTGATAGAATCATATAGAGAAACCTGTGTATTCATATAGGTGTTCTATCGTTCAAATAAGATAAAATATAAAACGATAAAAATTTATAGCTTTGTTATGTATGCTGAAATCTGCAAAATAATTATTAAATGACTTGAATTTTACATTATATTGCCAACGATAGAATACGATAATTTTTCTGCAATATCCGTCTTATTCAAACATACAGGGATGTATTAGGATTAAAATATGTAAATTCATATAAATATCTTTTCGTTTATTTCTTATTAAATTAGATAATGCAATGACCTATGTGACACATTGTACCGCTAACGATAGAATACGATAATTTTTCTATAATATCTGTCTTATTCAAATATAGCATATTAGGATTAAATTGATTCATATAAACATATTTTCGTTATTTCTTATTAAATCAGATAATATGATAGAGAAGCTTGATCTCCGATAAGTATTCTATCGTTTATTTAATATAAGATATAAAACGACAGAAATTTATAACTTTCCCATCTGTCGTGATTTTAATATCTGATAAATATGATAGATTCTGATAAAAATTATATAGAATTTCTATCAGATTTATATAAATTTCTACCGTTTTTCATCGAATTTTTTAAACAGGGTGGTTGGCTCTCGCCATTTTGCGTGAAAAGTCATGCGCTCCTAAATAGGGGGGGGAGGGAGGGAGGGAGGGAGGGATGGATCTTTCTTCGCGTGAAAATTCATTCACGACAGAGAGGGCTTTAGGCAGAGAGGGAGGTGAAGTAAACCTCTCTTCGCGTGGAAAGTCGTATTTCTTTAATTGATCCATCCTATCTCTCTCTCTAGAATTATCCGACTTTTCATGTAAAGCAGGTAAATAATTATTAACTTTCTTTGACTGTTAATAACTTTTTAACGAATAACTAGCGACGGCAGAAACCTGTAGGTCACTTAGGATCATGATTTTAACATACATCAAGATCAAGATCATTGGAGGAATACTTCTAAACAGGATATTTTCCTTAATTTACATTGATGAAGACTTTATGATAGTCAAAACATTTTGATATTGAACGTATAAATACATTATTGCACCTCTTTTTTAACATCTTTCTTGTTCGATCATTGTTTGTTTTAAATTATGTATTATTAACTATGTATATATATCATATTAAAGTATATTATATGAGGGATGCATCTCGAATGTCCAGAAAATATTTGGTATTATTTGATACTTTTTCACTATTCGGATATCATTAGTATCTGACAATATATAATAGGTTGAAATTTTATATTAAAAATTTGCGTCATTAATGCAGAATTATATTCTTTTCAGCTGAACTTCTTCCAGTTTATGGTTTCACAGTTATGGTGATTTATACCAACAATCGAAATAGATTTTCACCATAAAATGCTAAAATATTATTGCCCATCATGAAAAATTGATTAATATTAAACTTTGTTTACTGAGCAATGTTGAAAGTGTATTGCAAACCTTATTCCACAGTCGATTATTATTGCTATTTTTCTGTTTTCCTTTTTAAAATAAAAGTTTTGGTAAATTTATACCGGATATGTGGAAAAGATATCCGATCGAATAACGGATATTACATTTTTTTCGGATATCCGGTATCCAGTAATTTTACATCCCTAATATATATCGTATAATTTTCGCATTAAGAAAGGCATTGCACTTTCTTGCTTATTGCCCCTTTTGTTACTATCTTTTTTTAGATATACATATCTTAGATCTTTTATAAATATATAACATCAGCTTATTCTGCTATTATATGTATAATTAAATAAAATTCTGATACTTTTTTACATATCAAATTTTTCACTCAAACATATATTTTAGATTAAATGGATAGTATTTTGCTAGAATATTATTCTAATTCAAATAAAGATTTAATTACATATCATTTATCAAAGAAACAAGAAATATATTTAAACAATGAAGTATCAAGTGTTAAAATGACTATATATCAAAATTACTCTCAGATACTGAAATGGCTCATTTTCTTTGTTCTCTATTAGCAATTAAGAGAGAAAAGAATAAGTCAACATGTATAATATTTCAGATAACAAAAAATTATTCTTAACAGGGTTGGGAAGAAGTTTTAAAAGTAATTCGTTATTAATTTAAAAAAATAATTTATATTACTGTTATTAATTATTAAAAAGCGTTAGAATAACATTCAATGGTCGCAACATGATAAAAAAATTCACACATTCCCTACTCTTCCACACACATGTATTGTATATATGCAAGTAATGACAAAGGTAATGATTCTATTCCGTTAACCAAAAATGTAACATACATTACTATTATACATTACTATTAATCATTAACTGCGTAACAACCATTAATATTACAAATAAAAAAATGTAATATCCTTACCCATTCGTTACTTAAAAAAAAAGGTATTGTAACGATATCAATTAACGTTATTTCCCATCTCTGATTCTTAATTACCAGAAAATGAACCATTATACGATCTACGATGAAAAAGGTGAGGGAAATATCGTGTCGCTTCAAAAATAACAATTTTTATCATGTGAAAAGTTGTGACCACAAGTTTTATATATACATGCATATATCTTGGGGATATGTGGAACATGCGAGCACACTTTGGCTTTGTTGTAGTATACTTACTGGGCGAGGGGTATGTTATCCCTGTCTGCGTATGCGTCATACAAATATTCACTGTAACGGAGCGTGTTAGCGGTTAGATTCCAACAACCATTCCACACATTAGACAGCTACATAATCTAGGCTACCGCAGTGAATCGCGACTATTCGGTCTAAGTAAAATAGATTTTGTACAATCTCTCGTTGTTGCTCGCAGTTAATAAAAGAATGCGCGTCCGAGATATAGTTGGGATAGTTTTGTAAATACCGAAATAGTATAAGTGACTTAATCAAAGTAGCACTGATAATTTTTAATGGTACAAATCATTAATTATAATAAATAAAAATTGTTAATTATATAATAATTACATGAAAGGAGATTCAAACTCGAGTGTTTCAATTATCTTATGCCCATATTACATTACGAATTGAAGATTAGAATTCGATCAATCAGATAATTTTAATTTTATTCTATTTCATTTCGATTGGCTGAATTTTAATTTCTTCAATTCGCAATTTTCAATCTCTAATAGTGTGGCCGACTATTAAATCAATTATTTCTGTTTTAAACAGAATATAAGTTTTCGAGATCGAAAAGACAATTTCGAACCTGGAAATTCTTTCAGAATTTCCGGAATCGAAGGATTTTTTGGAAATAAAAAAACATGGACATGCCGATATCAAAGATGTTACAAAGCGCGAATAAATACATGCCATGATATATGGAAGCTCGAGAGTGACTACGAGACGGAAATAAAAGAATTAACAGTTTCTACATGAGAAGTGTTCAGGGATCGTTGTACGTTGAGATTCGCAAAAAAGAAAGAAAAAAGTTTTATTGCTCCGAAGTGTAACGTATAATGTGTCTCGTTATCTTTTACATTTTATTTCTTTTAGATTTGTAATCGATACTGGGACGTTACTCAACGATTTGGTGAATGACTCATGTTTAATGTATGATTTCAATTGACAATGGATTTACTAAAGACACATTAGTATCTTAAATATTGTCATGCACCATGTATTGGATGAATCAAAAACAATTAAAGAGATGTTTCTTAGATTGCAGTTGAGAATTGTTATATCTATAAGGAGAGATTAAAAACTTACGCTTCGACAAGAGGCCCCGGATATGGATCTGACTTTTGGTACAGAGCGCTCAACTTCACACAGAGCACTATCGTTGGTATGAATAGAATTAGGCACCAACCAACGCTTGCCCAAAAACCGTTCTATACATAAATAAAATCATAAATATTAATTTTCAACGAAGACTGCTTAATTTTATAACGCTGTTATTACTCGCTCAATACTTTAGTTGTCATCCGTTGCAATAAATTTGCTTATCACCTTATGAGACTTCTAAAACGGTTAGGAAATTTAATGGAAATTTAATAAAAATTTAAGAATTTATATAAATAATGTATAGGCACATTAGCATATCAGATAATACGTGGATTTATGGATTTATAAATGCGTCTAGCAAACTAAATACTTACGAATGGATCCAAAATTCTATTGCATCCGGCCACGAGCGTTGCGTTATAAGCATTCGACACGGGAGCACATCTTCCAATCTTGAAAATTGCAGATTCAATGACATGCTCGAGAAATTTGTCCACTTGATGCAAAAACGCATTGCCAAATTTAGTAGCAAGCTATTAACAATAACATATTTTAAATTGACATGTTATAAGTAACATCAATGTAACATATAGTAATATTACTAAAATATATTCCTATAAAAAAATGAGACGTACATATTGAACATATTCCGGTCCATCCTTATTTAGGAATTGTTGCGCCTTGGTAACTTCATCCACTAAATCATGAATAGCGTCAGCCATTGAACTATGATTGAATTTAATGGTCTCCTGAAGTGTTAACGCGTTCGCGCTTAATTGCTCGCTGAGCATGGCCATAGGCATGACCAAGTCTCTGTGATAATGTTCCAAGTCATGTGCATTCTTCTCAAGACTGAGTCTGATTTCCTCTTGTCCTTCCGGTAATTTAGCGGAAACCTCTCGTAATTGTTTGGCAAGATGTTCCAAATTAATATTCGTAATGTTCTCAGCGAGTAGCTCGGCGTACTGATAGAATTTGATGTCGCTTAGGCCGCTCTGCGCTAGATCGTTCAGTTTGGATCTCGCGCTATCCTTCAGGATCACTACACCAGGAGAAAGGCTGATCTTGCGACGTAATTGTTGGATAGTATCATTGATGTCGTAACGTCCATTGTAATCACGGAGGCTTTCAACAATAAATACATTTTTTAGATTCAGCACATTGTAAAGCGTCTCATTTTCGTGGCATTTACTGTAATGAGGAAAAAATCAAGTCACATATAAATTTTTTTTTATTCAATATATATACTGGATAATAAATCTTAACTTTTTTCTCTTGTAATATGTAAACATCGGAAAAGACATTAAAAATGTAAAAAAGGCGTCAAATGTTTTGCAAGAAAAAATCAAAAATAATGTTATAAAAAAGAAGTAAAATCAAAATAATATTTCAAATATATTTATTTAAAAAAGTCCCAAAAAACACAATTCTCTGAGTAGCATCTTGAAAACGTCCTTATGTAGACATTTTTCGGATATTTTTTAGAACTGTATGGAATAATGTGTATGGGATAATTTCTCACAATTATAATAGAATTAATATATAAAATATGGAAGACGTTTAAAATGAATAAAGTATAAAACAACACATTAAAATAAGAAAACGAAATGCAATAGATAGTGTAATGAAAGGCGCAGAAATTGAAAAGGAATTTTTACATCAATAAGAACTAGAAAATTATAGAGACAAAATATGAAAATGAACAAAATCTCTAGCAGCAGCATATTTAACGAGACTGTTTTATTCATAATTCGATTCATGCAAATAATTCAATGAATATTTTATTAATTATAAACTATTTTTTGCAAATTAAGGAAATTTTATATACTATGACGTGAGATTTTTTTGTCCGTCACTGTTGAGAATCATCGGCGGCGGAATCGCGCGTCTTCTCGACTCGGAGGGCAAGCGTGCGAGCGCACCTGAGCATGCGCTAACCCCGTAATTGTCTGTTTTTGTTTAATATTTTTGCTCTTTTCGTTAAAATTTTTGTTCTTTAATGATTAATCTCATAGTCAAAGTTCGGATCGCCATGGATCGCTTGGCAGCTGCTATATTATTCTGTAATTGTTGCCGTTTCACTCGCCAACGGGGGAAGGAAGACAACATCGAAAGGAAGAAAGAAGAGGCTACGTTTGAAGGCTGCCCTCACGGGAGTCCAGATCACATGGTTTTGTATAATTACAAGGGCAAGTCAATAAGTTCTTAGAAAATCTGTCAGACGGCACTCGCAGTGTAATGTCACATTACTTCTTGACAAATAGTATCTTTCAGCTGATTACTGTCAAATTTTGAACAGAATTCATCGCGTGATTTCATTTCTATAGATGATTAAAACGAACAATCTTTGTATTTTTTACAAAATAGAAAAAAACGAAAGTTTCGTGCAGTGATCAAACATCTACATATGAAAGGTTTAACGCCAAAAAAAATCAAAGCCGAATTAGATAATGTTCATAGCACATCTACACCAGCGACTGTATACAATTGAGTGAATGAATTTAAACGTGATCGTACATCCACATGTGATGCACCTCGTGCGGGACGTCCAATTGAGGCTGCTACACCAGAAATTATCGATAAAGTCCACGATATTGTTTTGACTGATCGACGAGTGAAAATGCGCGAGCTTGTTGAGGCTACAGACACATCACATGGCACAGTAATTTCAATTTTGCACGAACAATTGGATATGAAAAAGATCGGCAAGATGGGTGCCGCGTTTGCTCTCTGTGAAGCGCGACCGTATGACGATTTCAAAATAAGTTTGGAGATGTTTCAACGTAATCCAGATGAATTTCTGCATCAATTCATTACTGTGGACGAAACATAGATCCATTACTTCACACCCGAGACGAAGGAACAGTCAAAACAATGGATTTCAACGAGTGAACCAGCTCCGAAGAAGGCGAAGACCGTGAAGTCGGCCGGAAAGGTGATGGCCACAGTTTTTTGGGATGCACTCGGTATAATTCATATCGATTACTTTCCGTCGAAGCAAACGATCAATGGCGATTACTACGCAACCTTATTGGACCGTTTCAACAAATTATTATATAATATTTTAAAGAAAAAATGTCCCCTTGGCGAAGAAGAAAGTACTCTTTCATCAAGACAATGCACGGATTCACACGTGCTCGGCATCAATGGCCAAATTCAATGAATTCTGCTACGAATTGCTTCCCCATCCAGCATATTCGCCAAATTTAGCCCCCTGCGACTATTTCCTGTTTCCAAACCTAAAAAAATGGTTCGGAGGAAAGAGATTCATCACCAGAGAGCAGCTCATCGAAACAGAGGCTTATTTTGAATGGTTGGACAAATTATATTATTCAGACGACTTGAAAAAGTTGAAGAATCGTTGGATCAAATGTATCGAGAGTGAAAGGAGACTATGTTGAGAAAAAAATGAATAAAAATGAATCGATCAAAAAAAATGTGTTTGACTATGTTTTTCTAAAAACTTATTGACTTACCCTCATACTTATAATCTGTTGCTGCCCTAAAACTCTTTTACATCGTGCACCCTTTGCAGAGTACGATCGGAAGCGAGAATTCTCGAGGGACTCACCCAAGGAACCGTCCGTCGGGGGCATATGATCTCTGATGTGGAACGGAAAAAGGAGCTGTCAGGATATCCCCCGCCAGTCCGGGAAGGCCCAATTCCGGGACCTCAAAAGGAAAAGCAGTCCTTGAGATAAAATTATATTACGCCTCTTAAACGCAAGGATTTGCGGCCGCGAGGACCTGTACGCACGCGCGGATAGCGTGATAAGTAGGAACTATCGGCGTGACAGCCCTCCTGAGGGAGGGCGGGGGGAGCCGAACGACTGCGCGAATCCACAAGGAACTCCCGGATGGGTTGGGCGTGTAAAGGACGTGCGAAGTCGCCATCGACGAGCGTTTGGAGACTGCTGCTGTGAGCGAGATTACCAAGAAGACAAGCAGAAGGAACAGGACGAGGATGAGACGAGCGTCGCCACTGCTGCTGTAAAGCTGCCGATCTAGATTCGTAGCTTCGGGTGGATCGTGCGTAGAAAAGCTCGCGTCGCAGAAAGAGGCCGATTTAATAACCGCCGTGTAGAGTGAACTTGCGAGACATATGCTATCCTCTCAAACATTTGGATTTTTAGTTGTCGATTTTTGGTTCGAATCGTAGGAGATTATTAGTCAAGTAGGAGATTATTGTCAAGTCGCGCTCATCTCTCTTGCCACAGTCGAATCATTTTGGTACTGTCGTATCTCGTGTCGTGTTGGTACGAATATTGTGATCGTATCGTGCTGTCGAGTTAACGTTCGGCTTCGCGTCGGCGTTACCCGCCCGGTAGCGGGTAGTACTGCGAGTACGAGTTCGTGTCTGCGATCGAGAAATCATGTAAATAGTTAAGTCATCGCGGAAGCATAGCGCGGAGGGAAGTAATAACTCGTATTGTAGAGTGTAGTTGGCGTCCGGCGTTAGAAATAAGTTGTCTTTTGCGACCGTAGACTGTATCGAGTCTAGTGGAGGGATCTCCGGAGATTGCATGTAACCAAGTCGTCAAAATAATTGTCTTTATTTCTTTATCAATTCATGTGTGATGCTCGTCGCCTATCTCTCTCGCCTTCCGACAATTTTCCCACCTTTAACGACCCACCCCTACTGTCGCAAATTTAGTATAAATGGAAGTAGAAAGATTTTTGAAAAAATGGCACGCTCTCTCGTGCCTAGTGCCCAACTTATTTAGTGAAAACTAAGAGACTGGCCGAAAATCCGCCTAACTATCGAGATATTCGCTGAAAAGGTTATTTTTACATAAGAGAAGAATTAAGAGCACGCAACGAAGTTGTGCCGTCGCTCGCGAGCACGATTACAATACATACATATATTCAAGTTATTATTTTAGTATTAATAAATTTTATATTCAACAAATATACATGTAAACAAATATTTTTCTATGAGATACTTTCAAATTTTGTTACTATATTAAAGAATCTAAAATTAAACTCTCGGTTTAAACTCTCGGTGGAAACTAGGCCAATGAGACATGCCGCCATGCTGTGACGTCACGTATCATTGGGAATCCTGCCGTGGACCACCGCCCCGCCATCGCCGCGGACCCCGCAGCTTTAAAATATGTTGCGGGCCGTCGCCGCAGCTGCCGTGCGTGCTATCTCATGTACTTACCATCTTTCTCTCAATACGTTACCGTCTTCTCCTATCTCCTTTTTTTCTTTTCATACCTAAAATTATTTGACATGTTCGGATGATGATATTATCAATGTAATTTTGGTAATTGCGAAATAGTACGTATAATGATATAAAAGTTAAAGATTGAGATGCATTGGCAAATAGTGCGTATAATGATATAAAATAAAAAGATCAATTTTAATTTCCGAATTGCGTGCGTTTATTTTCATACTTGTTATTTGTTTTTTTTTTCTTACAATATAGGTACATATGGCATAGGAAGTAAAGAATGGGAAGTAAAGAAAGTACATATATAATGATATAAACAAAAAAATTTTTATTCACATTTTATTACATCATTTTTTTTCATACGCATTAAAACCTAAAGTTAATAGCTCGACGAGCTGATATCCATTGAAGATGTCATTATCACGTATAGCATCTATGAACGCGATGTTGGAGAATCGCATATACTTGACATCAACGAGTCGGGCTAATTGAATGTTACATCAATATACCCGTCAAATTGAAACATATGGCATAGCGTTTCGGTCATCGTCATGCATACGGATGAAGAATCGAGACATCGAGATGTGTGCAACATCGTTCAGCGTGCAAACTCTGACGATTAGCGGCCCAACGTTTATAAAATTGTCTTTGTATTCGTTTCGAAGCATTTTGTAAATTCCATCGTTGCTCGTAGAAGCCCTTACTCGTTTCGAGAGACAGTTCGTATCCGCTATCTCCCAGAGCGATCTCCACGTAATTCGGTGGATCAACATTGATTCCAGTATATATATTTCATAAATACTTGTACCCGTAGTCATCAGATCATAACGTCTGTTCAGTAAACGCACCGCGCGATGCTCCATGCTGCGCACGTACGTAATGTTAAAAACATTCTTTTTGTGCATAGAACGTTGAAACTTACATGTTACTGCAGTCCTTCTTCGTTTCGATGCACTGCTCTCTTTGGTGAAGTACATTTTTCAACCGTTCGTACAACCGGGTATCGCAAGATTCGGGTATCATGATCGTACCCGCGTAAATTGTAAACTATATGGTAATACTTCTAGAATCGAAGAGGGAATAACTCCTCCCCCTCTTTCTAAGAATTGCGAATGTGTCGTGACGCGTTTTATCGCGTCTTTCTACGTATTTTCTTTGTTCGCGAGTTTATTAATGTTTATACTTTATGAATGATATTTCGATGACGTTGGCGACTTTGATGATTTTTCCCCAGAAAAATTCATCATTCCAATATCTCGCTTTTTCCTTCGATGGCGGTGGACTTGACGAACTTGGTGACAAGGATACTTCTTTCGCTCGATTTTCAGTATATATATTCTTTTACTCGGCCCATGACTTAACGCTCGTACATATATATTAATATATATATAATATA